AACACCATACCATACCATACCATCCCTGCCACTTAAGCACAGACATATATTTATGTATTATCTATATTCTCAATATTTGAAGGAAAGCACTTTGGGGTTTACTCACAGTACTATCTATATTCCACAGTGGAAGCTGTTAACTTCTATGTACTTTGTGATGGGGGGAATAGTAAAGAAGGAGCAAACACTGGAAAGCAAAGTATCAACAGTACCATCAATCCATGTAAGGAATACTAACAAGATCATCTCATTCACACTAGTATTCCCGTGTTACTAACCTGAGTTACTAACTCATGGGATGAATGGAAGGAACACAGGCATAGTAAAGGGAGTGAGAGCAAAGTAACAGGGAGGAAATAGGTGTTTTGAATATAGCAAAATCTGTGCCACTAACAGAAGCCAGACTTCTGTGTTAGCATTGCACCTTCTTGCTCAAAGCAAACCCCTCTCTGCTCAGCATTCTCCTTTTGGGGAGGAAAGAAACTGACTAGTGCTAAGGTTTTACAAAACAATGGATTCCAAGAAATGCATGGTGTTTCATTTTACTTCATTATCTAAAATACTGTGAATAGGAGCTAATTTCTAAGAACACAAAGTAGTCTGAGATAAATGAAATGCATATTTCTGGTCTTATATGTTAGAAAACAGTACAGTGAAAAATCTTATTAAAAATTCCATTTGGGTGGATTAGGGGGATGAGTGTAATAAAACAATATAGAACTAGCAATTTTTAAAGATTTATTTTATTTTTATTAATATGTATGTGTGAGTGGATGGATGTGCAAATGCCCAAGGTCAGAAGGGGGCATTCCAGAGAGGTGGAGGCAGTTGTGAGCCACACTACATGGATGCTAAGAATCTAACTTAAATCCTCTGGAACAGCAACAGGCACTCTTGACGATGGAACCATTCTCCTAAGAATATGTGTCTTATTCTTCAAGTCTTAAATATGACACATATACTTAAAGTATACAATTTAGCTCTGACACATGTTTACACTTATGGAACCACCACTAGTCAAGATAATTAATCACTTCCAAAATTCATTATGTTGCTTTTTAATTCCTACTTCCCGCCCCTCCTCATCCATCTCTGTCCCTAAGGTCATTTTTTCTATCAAATAAGTTAGCTAACATTTGCTGGAATTTTATATAAATAGAATCACACAATACATACTCGCCCTACCCTGGCTTCTTTTGCTCATCATACATTAGCATATATGGAGTTTATTTATTACTTTTGTTTATATGTATCCTGTCATGGATATTTAGAATATTTCCAATTGGGGAATATTATAAACACATCTATTTCAAAATCTCTGTTTAAACATGTGTTTTCATTTCTCCTGAACACATGGTTAAAAGTGGAATAGCAGAATTGGGTGGTAGGAGGAAGTTCAGCCTCTTCACAAATCACTAATGGCTTGTCAGTGAGGCATCATTTAAAAAATGGAATTTTCCCACCAACAGTGTGTAAGTGGTCCAGTCCACTCTGTCCTCACCAACACTTGGTATGGATAGAGGAGTATTTTTACTCATCCAGTAGATATGTAGCGGTAAGTCCTCGTGTTTTGATTTACACTGCCCCAGAGACTAAAGATATTGACCATCATGTCATGTTTGTCATCTGTCCCATCTCTTTTAAGTGTTCAAATATTCTGCCAATGTAAAAACAATAGGTAGTTTACTGAACTTAGGAAGCCTTTTATGAATTCAGGATTTACCAGACATGATTTGCATATAATTTTTACAATCCATAATCAGAAAAGATATAAGAGAACTATGTGGACAACTGATTTCCAACCAATTTAAAACACTTAGAATGGATAAAGCATACTTTTTCCAAGAAAAATCACCAAAAACAGTTGGATATTTGTCTGTAAAAGCAACCTCATTTCAAAGTACATGAAATTTTGGGTTTCAGTTCATAATATTGTGAATTAGAGTAACTATTAAGTGTTAAATCCACCTTGAATTCCTCAAATAACTGTTGGTCACTCCCATAGTTTAAACAGAGTTAGTCCCCTCCAAAACTCATGCAGAAATCTGACTGTCCCTGTGGCAGTGTTGGGCAGTGGGGTCTTGCACAGTTATTAGGTTGAGAGCGATAACTGTTTTACAGACAATGCTGTTATAAGGTAAGGCACCTTCTCATGTCTTGCCTCTTCTGCACAGCTTGCACACGCACCCTTCCATTCTTCTGCTATGACATGATATAACATGATTCTCCCCATATACCAATACCATGCTTTTGACATTGCCACTCTGTTTTATTTAATATCACCATCTCAGGCATTCTGTTACAAACAGAAAATGGACTTAGGCAGTCAAAATATTTGTTAAAAGTAGGTTAAATTTTTTATGACTGTGTTCATAAATGACATCACACTATGTGCTCTGTCTAGTTTGATTTCAAGGTACTTCTCACTGCTTTTGGTAGGAAGGTCAATGATGCCTCTGTTACTCCATCTTAGCTAGAAGATTTCTGCTACCTAGCTATTGTTATTATAACATTTACTCCTTCCTAGTCTAAGTAAAACTTAACCAAACAGGAAATAGAGGCCCAGAATGTAATGAAACATACAGGTGCTCGTATGTTTCAAAAGCATGAAATTAGATTTGAATCACAACAATATGAATCTAAAATCCATTCCACTAAGCTACTATATGAACGCATTGCAGTAGTATTTAGTAGATTTTCTTTAAACACATGAACATCTATTTTTGTAAGTATGACAAAAAGTTTCCAAAAGAGCCTCACTGTCTGATTCAGGGCCCATATTTTAATTACTATGGTATCGCTTAAAAAAAAAAACAGAAAAGAATGAGACACCATGGTTTCCTACACCTTAGAACCTATTAAACTATTAACCTATTAACTATAGAATATACTAAAATTATACCTCAAGAAAAAGCAGATTCAATCCAGCTAGGAAGAATTTTATAAATATATTCTATGATTCTCAAAGACAAATAACAGTGATGATAGATGTTACCATTTAAAAATATATGTGAAATAGACATTATTAGACTATATAGACAAGGTCATGGAAATACAACATTGAGAAACTTGCCTAAAGTCTGCCTTATACTCTTACACAGCATGACAAGTATCAGACAAGTCGCTACAGCTCCCGAAGAATCTCTGGAGCTTCCCATTAGGGCTCTTGTGTGTTTGTGCTTGGATTACAACACTGTCAACCTTAAGAAACAAGAAGAACTGCCAAGGGCCTTTGGGAACAAGGAAATTTCAACATCGGAGTCTAGCAGAGTTCAGGCCAAGTGAATGAGAGCTGAGCCTCGAAGACAATGTGACATGTGGGACTTACCAATGGCTGCACAGATCTGCTCTGCTTCCTTTCTAAGGCAACAGTTCCCACTGGAAACGAGTGGAGTGCTTTGTCTAGACAATCTACAGTGGATGCGGTTCAGCTAGCTTGGACTACCAACTATTGGCTATGTGTGAAATTCCTCCTTAGAGTAAAACAAGAAGGGATAAAGAAAAGCTAAAGCTATTCAAATTATCTTAACTCTGTGAGCAGAGCACAGAGCCTACAGTGCTTGAAGACACTGCTAAAGTCCAAAAGCTACCTATTTCCTTCCTGTTAGCTATGAGACCTTAAGGAAGTTTTCAATTTCGTGGCCTTCTGTACTTTTATCTGTAAGATGGAGGTGGTGTTTCTACCTCTTCTGAGCTTGAGTTCCATCTGATATATCTACAACACAACTGCTGCTCAGGAATCATTGCAGAAGACGGGGTGAAAGATTGTAAGAGCCAGAGGAACAGGAAGCTTGCTCTGAGACTATGTCTCCTAGAAATGCCAGAACCTACACCCGTGTAGTTTCACCAACATGGCTGCCTAAACATGACCTGAAAAAGGATTACATCAATAGGTATGCTAGTGTGGAACGGGAAAACTCATGAGGTCTTAATGCATACAAAGAACCACAGGCAATTAATGCTGAGGGTGGAAGAAATAGTCTTCCCCAGAGAAGAGTACACCAACTGATTATTCAATATCCAAATGGTCAGCCCTAAAGACATATATGGACTGAGGAAGCTGTATTTATATATTCAGGAATATACACACACTCATGCCCCCATCTGCACTAGTGCATGCAAATGCATGGACACCATGAATTTGGAAGAGTAGAGGGTTGGGAAGAAGTACATGGAGGGCTTCAGGGAAGAAAATAAAGGGGACAATTACGTAATTATGTTATAATATTATATGTAGTTACATATATATAATTTATAATATTAGAAATAAAGCTCAACAAAAGATTTCACAAACAAGAATTTATATTAGTACCAGACACTTGGGAGGCATTAAATCTTGTTACCAATAAATTACTACTATTCCTAAAGTTATTAATAGGTATTTTTGGAAAGTCTTCAATACAAAAATCAGTTACAAATAACATAATAATTTTTATGGTCCAAATGCTTATTTATTTAAAAACACAGCTCTGTAATTCTAACATACTTATGTTAATGCCCTAAAGATAGTAATAGAAACACATTCAGCATGTTCCACAAGTATGTAAACAACTTGTAAAACACCAACTAGACACAATTAATTGAAATAAGGCAAATTAATCCATATATATTATAATGCTCAAAAATATATAAAGATGTGTAAGATCCAAGCCTTACCTTACAACTCTTAAAAACTTAAGTATTAAATGACAAAGAACTTGTATGTTAGAATAGACAAATTCTGCAAAATGCAAGCAAATGCCAGCAAGAAGCACATAACACAAGAAGAAATACATGTTACGTGTGTTTGTGTATATAAACATAAGCACAGGTGTGCATGCATGCACCTGTGTTATACAGCACGTGCTGGAGAAAGAAACTCTCAAGTACCATTAAATTTGGTAGCTCAGCTTACAGAATAAGAGTCTTTACATATGTATTTGAAGCTGGTTCAAAGGCAAGTTCAAAAGTCAGGTATGCTTAAGGGGCATCAGAACAAAAGATATGCAACTATAACTTACTGTTGCTATTTTGGTGCTGAGAAAGTTCTGTCTTTCTTCATCTACCACAATTTCATGTCCAGTTTTAAATAATTCAAGCATTTTAGGGATGTCACGACCAACGGAATCTGGTTAGAAAAATCAGAAAAGTCCAAAATTGTTACAGCATCTAAAAACTAGCAACATTAATGACTAAAATAAACATGAATCCCATGTGAAAACACAGAAAACAAAATGTGGCAGACTGCATTATATAATATTACAATCCCTGTCCTGGAGGAACTCTCTTCCTTATTGGCTTTGGAGAAGCTACAATGCTATGTGCTAACAAATGGAAAGGACGAAGAGCCAGGAACTCCAAACCCAGTGAGAATGATGGCACACTCAGTCCAGCAACAGCCTACAAACAAGAGACTTCTGACAACAACCACGTAAGTCTGGAAATCAATTCTCAGTCAAACTGGAAAGAGAGAGCCAACTATTACATGCACATGCGCCTCTCCTCTTTTTTTTTTTTTTTTTTTTTTTTTTTTGGTTTTATAAGACAAGGTTTCTCTGTATTGTTTTGGAGGCTGTCAGTCCAGCCCGGCCTCGAACTCACAGAGATCCGCCTGCCTCTGCCTCCCGAGTGCTGGGATTAAAGGCGTGCGCCACCACCGCCCGGCTTTTTTTCTTTTCTTTTCTTTTTTTTTTTTTTTTTTTGCGCATCTCCTCTTAAGCACATACACAAACACATTTTTTACGAGTTTTAGTATGAGATGTCAAAATGTTAAAGTATACCATAATGATCTTAAATTTTTATTGAAAAGTAAGATAATTTTCAAACACTGTCTGATCAAGGTTTCATCTCTCTCATCTCTTCCCAGATCTGTTGGGGAAGTCCTGTTATTTGCCTGTTATTTGTCAATAAAGTACTGTTGAGCCTATAGGAATCTAGATAGGTGGGGCTAGGAGTCCAGGAGGATTCTGGGAAAGCGGCTAGCAAAGAAAAAGCTTCTCTTAACAGAATGGTTGTAAGAAGCGGGATTGAATTTCCATGCAAAACAACAAAAGCTTTAAAGGAATTTTAGAAACAGAAGAACAGAGAGAAGCACAGATTTTGGTAGCAGCATTTTTCTCAGGTGTGCTCTGTTTTGCTAGCGACAAGCCGAGATTCACGCAGCTCACTTACCGGAGTCTTCCTGACTCGGCATAAAAAGAAAAAAAAAATAAACCAGCAAGGTCGTTTTAAGAGATTCTGCTAACGATTGAAAGGTGTGTACGTACAGCTGGAAGTGGCAGCTTTTGCTGGAGGTCAGCATGGACTGAGGCGGTAAGCTGTAATCACGCTTACGCCCACCATCTTGACGAAAAACCGGCAGTTTAAAACAGCCGCGGTTTTACAGATAAGACACATGGCCAGAAAAACAAAGATTTACAGTAAAGTCAGACTTAAATGAAGAAAAACCTCTAAAGGTTTATATTGTGTTTAAAAATATACGTGAGATTGAGAGAGAAAATGAAACGACAAAGTGGTATATAAATACAGAAGCCGGCTGTGGTGGCGCATGCCGGTAGGAATTGCTCCAGAGGCAGAGGCAGGCAGATTTCCAAAGAGAAACCCTGTCTCAGAGAAAAATAAATAAAAGTGAAAGAAATTGAGTAATAGTAATAATAGATTAATAAATAAGCCACGTAAAGATGGAAAATACACAGAGAGTCTGGATACTGTACGCTATTATGTTTTTCAGTTTTTTCATTGCTAAGGAAGGAACAGCTACTGCAGTACACTTGATTATAAATGCTGCTGAATTAATTCAACTTATATCTTTTGAAAATGCCTTGACCTCAAAATTTAAGTATAAGGATATGTTACTCGGAAAAGGAGTTTTAATTTATGTTTCCATAAAAAGCTGAGATTTCTTCCAGGCTTCTGTGGTTTGACGAACCAAGCCCCCCGGAAGCAGTGGACCAGGTGTTCCAACTATTGAGACAGCTAAGATGATGCAGCTTTACAGACCCTGAAAATACGGACTTATACAGGTTTCTGAGTTTTGTCATGATCCCCATGGTGTGAACAGCGCCCCCTTCCAGCAGGAAGCAGTTTGGAATGAGCGACGTCCTAATTCCCATCTTGTTTATAAATCTTTGTTTTCATTTAAATGGGGTTGTTTATAATTAGCTAATGATAACAGCCGATCTCTTTTTTAATGGTAAAAAGGGGAATTATGGTATGGGTATTGTTTTTCATTTATTGATACAAATTCAAGGTCAATTTTGTGATATGTATATTTCTCCTCTTGATTAAGTACTGTGCTTATACTGATCTTTTAAAACGTAATGCATAATTGAATACAGACTATAGATAGTTACTTATAATAGTCAGAATTTATAGTTAGGTAAGTTAGGTTTTCTAGATATATAGAGATGTATTTGAGACAGATAGATAGTCTTCAAACCTTTCAAAGACCTTCAGAAAATGGCATTTAAAATGGTTTAGGGTTTTTCTTGACAATGAGAAATGTCTGCTCCTGGCAGCACCAATTACATCTGAGAGGAAGATGGGCATCGAAGAAACTTGTTATGGAGTTTGCTTTCAACATGGCAAGATTAGCCATTTAGGCAAGAAACTGCTCTTGTCGGTACTGCTTGACTGTTGTATAATCTGGACCCACAGGAAAGTGACTGCTGAACTCAGTCTTACAGGGTTCCTGCTTCATGAAGAGTCTACGAGACTTTCTGCAGGACACAGAGAAATGACTGACAGACTGCCAATGCAGATGGACAGTTTGAAATTTCCTGCTTTGCTGAGAAGTGTTCCAGACACATTGTGGCCTATGGGCTGAAGATGGATGCCCCAACATTACAGAGGAACTTTGGGTGACTGTCCAGGCAGTAAGATATCTTTGTCAATCCTAGTGTGTATATATTATCCTTCTGTGGTCTTTGATGGAGTTGAAGACAGATAGCTATAATTATAGTTTTCCTTAGTTATGATAAAAGATAAGCTACATATAGAACTTTGGATTCACAAGGATGGGATGGATGATATTTTCTTTAAATCTTGCTAAAATATTCTAACTGTATTCTTACTTGATAACTGTTCTGTTATATATAATTTGACTATGTTAAAGTTAAGACCTTTCTTTTTTTTAAACAGAAAAGAGGAGATGTTGGGGAAGTCCTGTTATTTGTCAATAAAGTACTGTTGAGCCTATAGGAATCTAGATAGGTGGGGCTAGGAGTCCAGGAGGATTCTGGGAAGGAGAAACACAAGAGAGTCAACATGTAACGCCATGGGGGTAGGAAGAATGGAACTATTCTCCGGTAAGAAACATACTTAGATTAACAATTATGGGGTAATTACTTAAGTCAGAGCTAGCTAGTAAGAAACAAGCAAGGCCAACAGCTTCATAATTAATATAGCCTCCTGTGTGTTTATTTGGGGACTACAATGTGGCAGAGCCCAGGCGACTGGCGGGTGATAAGCCAAAGAGGCTAGCAAAGAAAAAGCTTCTCTTAACACAGATCCTTCCCACCTCCCCACCTGCCCAACTACTCACACCAAGAAAACAAACAGGCAAATAAAAAAGAGAAAGGATTTTACAAAATAAACTAACAAAAGAAGAAACTAAGAAAGAGCAAAAGAAACACACACACACTCAAAATCAGAAACCATGACATATAATCAAAAAACCAGTAAGGTTAAAAGGAAAAAAAAAAAAAAACCTCTGATAAAAATACCTTTGAGTTCACTTCACTGTTGGGCATGGGCCTGCCCTGAAGTGTAAATTTGTATACCCAGTGAGACTCCCTTGGAGAAACAATTTCTTCCTCTGTGAGAAACCTTAATTGGAGATAGCTTCTTGGTGGGGGCAGGGTTTGTGTCTACTTCCACATCCCAGCACGGGGGCCCTGTCTGGATCTGTGCAGGACCTGTGCATGCTGCCATAATGTCTGTGAGCTCCTGTGTGTCAGGCCTTTCTCACCTGGAAGACACTGTTTCCTTGGTGTCATCCATCCCCATGGCTCTTAAAATCTTCCTGCCTCCTCTTCTGCATAATTCCCCGACCCCTACAGGGAGGGATTCGATGAAGACATCCCATGTAGGTCTCTCACTCTCTGCACATTGCCCAGTTGTGGGTCTCTGTGTTAGTTCCTATCTGTTGTAGGGGCAGCATCTCTGATGATGGCTGAATGAGACACTGACCCATGGGTATAGCAGAATGTTGTTAAGAGTCATTTTATGTCTCCTTTTAATTCTGATACCATTTTATATATTTTGGGACTCTGTTCATAGATTATCCAACATTTTCTCCAGTATCAGTTCTCATCTTAAAGATATATTCTGTCTGGCATCAATATACCCAATGACATTCTCTTAACTCTTATTTTCATGATTTGTAATTATAGACAATTTTACTTTAGATGACTTGTGTGTTTAAGGGTTTTTTTTCTACAGACAACATATAAAACTGCCTTATGGTTGGAATAGCCCATTTCCAGCTGACATATACATATGCAGAATTAGAAATTTATGTGCTTCTACTGTCTCATCATGTTTGTTCCTTTGTTCCTCTCATACAGGCATTTTTGTTTTAAACAAACAAACAAACAAAAGTCATGTCTCTTTTATCCTATATTTAGATTTAAGCAAAATACCTTTAAAACACACATGATCACCTTTTTAAAAATCATAAACTACTTCATGCTAATACATAATATGTATCAGCTAATTTTTTTCCTCTGCCATTTTTACATTGTGATCACTGTCATGTCAAAACCTCATTTACTTCCTGTATATTTGTCTTTAAAATAATATTCACTATATTTCATATAAACAAAATTAGAGAATCATTCCAGATTCCTTTACACTTCATATTTAATCAGTAATTCTTGTTGACTCTACCTCTTTACCATCCCTCAATAATCTTCTTCTGTCTTCACTGCTATTGTAAAATGTATTCTTTCTTCTGTTACCTAGACTACTATAAAGGCCTCTGCAGTAGTCTATGTTAATTTTCTATATCCTCACATGTCCACCCCACGACTTACATGCCCACAAGAAAACCGTTTTATCTCATGATTCTGAACAAGGTTTTCAATGGTTCTTATCTACAAAGAGGATAAAATCTAATCTCTGTGGAAT